GTAAACTGTAAAATTATCACTGAGAGATTACCGCTTTTTCTGCAGTCAGTGATTGACTTCTATGCAAAGTCATTTCTCAACTTGTGTTCCGTGCCATGTCATGCCTGTTGAGTGTTGATTTACTTCATATTAAGAAACTACTGCACTAAAACATTAATTCATAAATGTATATCATGTGATTTTATTTCTTTTTCTCAGTATAAATAACACGTACCCTGACTGTTCTACTCTTTGAATAAAATCACTTCATTCAAGCATTAGGGAGTGCAAAGGGTTATGATGGAGGGGTGTTAATCATGAGGATCCTGCCAAGTGGTATGATAGCATTGTTTTATACATGTCCTTGGCTAGGCCTCAGTTTCAAAATCAGTCCTTGGTCCTTGGCCTTGGCCTCGGAAGCAAGTCCTTGGTCCTTGGCCTTGGCCTTGGAAGTCAATTCCTTGGCCTTGGCCTCGGCCTTGGGAGTCAAGTCCTTGGCCTTGGCCTTGGCCTCGGGTTGCCGGTCCTTGGACACATCCCTGCCAATTTGTATGCCTGTGCGGTCTTTCGCCCAGAAAGTAATCATGTAGTACCCTCTCATACCGCTAGGGAGCAGCAACAGCTGGCCAATTGCCTTGTGTTTCGACGAGAGACAAGCGAATTTGTGACGCATTAATGCAGGACGACGGTGAAACAATAAATATGAAAGATGATAAAATACTGTTTTCTTTGTGTCACATTTTCAGCTAGTGGTGTGCCGCGAGATTTTTTTCAATGAAAGAAGTGTGCATTGGCTCAAAAAAGTTTGAAAAACACTGGATTAAGGTACACTGCTGCACGTCTACAGTGAAGTACCCTACCATTGCTAGTTAGAACGAATAGTTGACAGGTGATTGGAATAATGGGAGGATGGATCGAGCAGCTCATTCTCTTTCAGTCGCTTTTTTGAAGAATTGGGTAACAATGTCCAAGAGACGCACGTTCTGAGCCACGCACATTTAACGTCACACATTTTAAAATGTAGAATGTAAGAATGGCAACTCCATTTGGATAAAACAATACCTTCCCCTCACATACATGTACATTATGTTGATAGGCATGAAGCATTTGTCTGATGCCACATCAATCTAATCTTCCCCGGGGCCTTCAGAATCAGTAGTTCCAGCTGATGTAATTTAAACTATGGTGGCATTGGGACTTTTTCTTCAACCAATCAGATTTCAGATTCTAGCTTCCTGCTGCAAAATCATCATACAGTATTTCTATCCACTGATTGATTGGTCGGAGCAAGTTAAGTTTGAATAGCAAAAAATGCCTGTCTATTGTGATATGCACACATTAATATGTTGAACAACTGTCATTTCTGATGAATAAAATATTTAATTCTTGTATGTTTTTTCTTGTTATTGTACTGTATAATTATTTTATTCTGAACTGCTACAGAAGATGGAATCGTGGGAAAATTGCATGCGGTGTTTTCTATAATATTAGGTTTCTATCAATGCGATGAGATAGTGGTTGTATAAGGAGATGGATTAAGTCAGGTAAATCCCCATCGAAAGCCCAGGCACCAAATGCAAGGCCCACGACTGACAATATCAGATGGTAAATGTTGCTAGAAATGCTCAATTAGTGTGATGTCATCAGATCATTTTTTTCTGAGAATAAGACATAATTTAAGTTAAAACTGAGCTCTTCTCTTTCAGAATGGACGTAAACTAATGCCCAGATGCATCCCTACTGCTCAGAAGGACACAGTCAAAAAAGTGCAAGGTGCTCCAACTGATGGTGGCTTGAATGACTACTTCTTCACACCTTTAGATGGTATTGACTGAAGAACAAAACAGAAACTGTGCAATGCCTGATTTGACTGGAAAAAATACTGAGCATTAGTAAAAATACATGCAGCTTAATCTTGCAGCACACTATTCAAGTCTCATTATTGTGTGTGTGTGTGTGTGTGTGTGTGGAGGTGGTGGTGGGGGTGTGTTGGGGGGGTTGACCGTGTTTGGGTTTGTAGACAGATATGGGTCTTGCACTAGCTTTTAGATTGATTGCAAAATAAATAATAAATATTTTCCTGATTAAATATTCAAACTGCAGTATTGTTAGTTTTTATTTGTGCAGTGCAAGTCTGTGGGAAAATTCATTTAATGTCAGTGATGCAGTCTTCATCACTGAAAACTATTAAAACTGCTAAAACTGATCTTCCTAAACTACTACCTTTCTGACTGTGTGAATAAATTACTATCAATTATTCGCTGAGTCTGTGAGCGATCTACAGGGAGTTGTTTGTTATCAACTTAGTTCGGTTCCTACAACAGTGATGTAAAGCAATATAAAATAGAGATATACAGTAATCATCAAATGTACAAAACAATACAATACAAGACATCTTTATTTATACAATGCTTTCACAACAGCCGAGGCTGTAACAAAGTGCTTTCCAGAACAGTGAACATAAAATTACAAACTATAACAGAACACATAACATAAAACATGGACAGGCATACAATCGTTACAACTATTCCTGCATCTGGCTTGAATGCCAATTGTGTGTAATCTAATATGGTACACATGAAAATTGGTTTTCAGTCATAAAGATCCTCTATCTCTCTCTCTCTCTCTCTCTCTCTCTCTCTCTCTCTCTCTCTCTATCTCTCTCTCTCTCTCTCTATCTCTCGCTCTCGCTTTAAGGGTGTTCACACGGCACACATTTGCTCCGGTGCTGCACCGATGTATTTTGTAGCAATATATCTTACACCGGAGCAAATTTTGTGGAGCGTTCACACGTACAAAGCCGCTGAGCGTGTTAACTCCGGTGCAGCCTCGGTGCAGCCCCACTTGCGTTCACACGGCAGTTTCTGCAGAATCAGAATCAGAACCGCCTTTATTGTCATTGTATAGAATACAACGAAATTTGGGTGCCACTCCTTAGTGCATTTCGTAAAAAAAAATAAAATTAAAAAAAATAGAATAAAATAAAATTCGCAAAACGATAGAAAACAAAGAGCTGTCGTGTTGGTTCTTTTTAAAACAGACACAACTCAAGCAACTGCTGTACAGGCACGTCCTTCTCCTTCTCGGTCTCCGTGCCTTCCGCTCGAGAGGCGTTCAATGACCGCCCCGAAAACGTAAATCAACGATGACTTCAATGACACTCAGAAAAGCAAACATATAATGGGCCAAACAGAAAATCAAGAGAGGATATCACAAAATAAATTCTATGGGGTTGTTGTGAACACACAACAGAGGAACAAACTACAAAAACAACTCAGAGACACAGCATGAAAGCAACGCATTCTAGCCGTATGTAATCAACTCTTCTCATGCGTAGCGAGGCTACTCCCCCGGCAAGTGTTTCTCAAATAGTGGGGCGCGAGGCTCCTTCAAGGGGGGCGCGTTCTACCTCGGGGAACATGCTTTTTTATTTTTTTTTTACTGTCCTCCACTACGTTAGGGGGCAGTGGCACTCTAATTGGCAGAGTTTGCGCCGGGAGCATTCTCAGGGAGGAAATGTGACGAGGCGCATGTAGCGCTTGGCTTCTATGTGACTGCGGTGGCAGACGAGGAAAGATCGATGTGCTTACTGTGTCTAAAAATTTTGGTAGCGGACTGCATGAAGCCAAATAAATTAAGGCGTCACTTAAAGACATTACACCC